AAGAGGCGGTGAGTGGAACGTCAGTGCAAGGAGATCGTGTGAAGAAGAGTTGAAACAGTATGGACTAACATGGATGCAAGTGAAAAGTACAGCAGAAGACAGAAGCAAGTGGAGACTTGTAGTTTGAGCCCTATGTTCCACTAGGGACCCAAGGGAACAATAATAATAATAAGTCCGTAGCCGGCGGTAAAATATTCATATGAACACAACTCTAAGAACAACTACTTCGAACAAGCTGTGTGTCACTGGTATCAATGAGTTATTCTTTGGGCTCTGTGGTCACTCAACACTCATGCCCCCCTTTGTTACAGGCAATGGAAGAAGAAATTAACTAGTATATTAAAAGTGCATCTTTCAATTTGTCCACCAAACTAATATGTTCGAATTTCGGTTTTTCGTAGGGAATTAGTTTAATTTAATTTCGATACAGATTTCGTCACAGAACGACATAGGTTAGGCAATCAGTGGAAACCAGTGTATCTGCTCCTGTGGAGCCAGGGATACCGGTAACTCAATGCATGTGCGTTATCCCACATGGTTGCTGAATGGGGAGTGCAATAATTGAACACATCTTCGAAACCTGCCACTCAACCTCCAACAATCATTTCTGCATCAAAGTGATCTACAAAGAAAAGAGAAATCCACCAATGGCAATGCGCTATATAGCCTTCTTTACGATTGCATGGAGAAAGCTTTCCAGCGATGTATTTAATATCACATTTCCTTCGTGTACCCTGGCTACAACACATTCATTAGGCAGTGAATCTTATTACGTAACTCTATCATCCTAGTTCAAATTCTATTATATTTCGATTCATATTAACAACTACGCTTATGACTAATCACCTCGTCTGCTGTTATTGTCCTCATTTGTAACAAAAAAAGTTACATAAAAAAGTGCGATTATACAAATTAAAAAAAAAATGACATCCCTGAAAACGGCCTCTTCCCTGAATTATAATTGCTCTGTTATATAAAATCATAGAGAATTGAAGAGTTGTTTTATTCTATATGTTAAGACTGTTCAGAAATGCGCTGATGATATAAGTCTGATTTCCCACAAACGGGAAGATATGCAAGTGAAAAGCAACAATTTGGCGATAGAATAAGCATCAAAGAGAGGACTTCAGGTGAACATTGAGAAAACAGAGATGATGAAGATTCCTGGACAAGAAAAACAACAACAGACAACAATCAGCCAGCATAAATGGAAGGAACCTGAAAGAAACAACCTCCCTTACCTACCTACCTACCTACCTGGGAAGCATCGCTTCAAGATCCGGATTTTCAACTCCCAATGTGAAGTCAGTCAGTGCTACTCACTATACGGATGGATCAGAGACTTGCACTGCACTGCGCGTCATAAACAGCATCTCAAACAAACTACACACCTTCATCAACAGCTAGCTGTCTTCGCTCAATACCAATACCACTGAAGATGAGATGGCCGGCCGGCCAGAAGAGATCAGCAACAGAGAGGGATCTCTGGCAATGAGCGAACCAACCAACACAGCAGGAACCGATTGTGCGACGGATAGGCAGGAAGAAATGGAGATGGATTGGCTGGTCATACTCTGAGGAAACAAACCATCAAGTGAGTGATATCACTAGACAAGCCATTGCTCGAGTGGAACCCGACTGAAAGGGAAGCGGCGAGTTGGTCGTTAGTGCGAGGGTGGGTGACTTGGAACCAGGTGAAGACTCTAGCGGAGAACCGAATGCAATAGAGACGCACGGCTGAAGCCCTATGTCCCTCTAGGAATTAAAGGAAACAATAATAATATAATAACCCCATTGCGGGATACAACCCAAAACTTTAAGGTTACGAGGTAAGTAGGTCGATCATTCAACCGCTGAGTTGGAATTCAATCAATGACCAAGACTAAGACGTAACAGTTGTTCAGTGATCGCTAAATATTTTTTGTTTATTCCTTAACGCCCTGAGTGGAACATATAGAGCTTCAAGTTTTGAGCTATAAAGTTTCAGTAGCAATGGTGTTATTCTTTTTTACGGGATAAGTTTGATAGCCTCAAACCCAGCCTTGCATTTCTCCGGGCTTAATACAGCAGGCTAAATGAGGTATAAGAGTGCGTCCGGGCGGGGAGGGAGATCACCCCCGGACCACATGCGTGGGTGGTTGGAGAGCACTCTACCACTGAACCACCACAATAATCTGAGCACATCTTCGATACTGCCCCTATTCACAATATCAATCTATTCTTCCTTCAAAATGATCTACGAAGTAAAGAGGAACCCAACAAAGACAATACAACACTTTAGCCTCCTTTACACTGAGGTATTTTTTTCCTTCACGTTCCCCGGTGGAACATAGGGCTTCAAGTTAGTTGGCTCGAAGTTTCTGTAGCAGCGTTTATTTTACAGGATGGGGTTGATAGCCTCATGCCCAATCTACTCTCTTCACCAGCATTATTTCTGGCTTAGCGAGGTAAAGGAGTGCGTCGGCAGGGGATCGAACCCCGGACCATGTACATGGTCGGCGAGCGTCCTAACCGCTATGCCACCGACGCGAGGTGTTTTTTGGTTTACAACAATTCTAATGTCAGTTCATCATAACGGTATCTATCTACATTGTAATATGTATATATATATACATATATGTTTCCTAGCACACGTTAGGTACGTATCACATTATTTCCTGATATTACATAATTTCAGAAAATTACTTTCTTTCTTTCCTACTTTGAGTAGTTAAAGGTGAACGTAAGTTGAATTGGTTACTGGATTTCATCATGAGCTGACATTAGTTACAGAACCATTGGAAAACCAGCAGGGAGTACTGCACAGCCAGCTGTTTCGTCCTAGTATGGGACTCTCCAGAAGTACGCGCCCACCGGGGTTCGAACTCAGGACCTTCTGGTTACAAGGCGAGCCAGCTCGTATACCATTAAGCCACTGGGACCCAATCCAATGACCAGCCCATGAATTCTAACTTCTGCCAATTCACGATATAGCGCAACCCCTAGCCAATGTCTTCAGGGAGTATTTGTCCTCACACCCGACCTGCTGCATTCTACTGGTCACGACTTCCCACTTCGAACCCCGGTGGGTGCCTACTGATGAAGAGTCCCAAACTAGACTGACGAAACAGCTGTCCAATACTCCCTGCTGGTTTTCCAATGGCTCTCTAACTAATGTCAGCTCATGATGAAATACTGTTACCAATCAAATCCCTACAAACCAACACTTGATTCGACTGAATTAAACTTACTACTCACTTACTTCGCTAATAAGTAATAGAAGTATAATATTACTGTGTTTTTTTAAAAAAAAAACCTAGATAGGGACTAAATGCATTTTTTTTAAAATGCATTGATGCAATCCACTTCACAGACACGCCCACGCATCTACATAGAATCCAGTTATGGTCCAGTTAACTTCTCCTGCTAATCATCATAATTCTCACAGCATAAATTTCATTTCAAGCATAACAGATTTCCAGACAAACTCTTATACATACATACAGATAAAGCGCTGTATACTGAAACTACTACGTGTCCCAAAGCAAGCGACTACAAATTCACACACTATGAGCAACAATATCGTTTTATATGAAAAAGAGGAAGAAGAAAATGATGAAATAAAGATAATTTTAAAGGCAAGTGGACGGGGTGGCAATGGGCTCCCCCCCATTGGGTCCCATTCTGGCTGATTTCTTTCTAAGTAAGCTAGAAAATGGACCTCTGAACAACCTTATCAGTAAGCTCTCATTTTATTGCCGATATATGGATGATACCTTTATTCCGATAGGAGTACAATAATTACTGAATTCAATGAAGTACATTCGGTTATGAAATTCACATGCGAAGAGGAATCCCAAGACAGAATTACCTTCCTAAATGTCCTAATTACAAGAAAGCCAGATGGTAGCATAAAAAGAAATTTGCATAGAAAAAGTATTTGGACAGGACAATATACACATTTTCATAGCTTCGTCCCATCAAATACAAAAGGAATTTGGTGAAGACCCTTAGCCACAGAGTTAGAGCTATATGCTCTGAAGAAGTAATTAAAGATGAATTAAGCATGGCATATGATACTTTAATCGAAAATCGTTATCCTGACAAATTTATCAAGAAACACATGACAAAGAAAGCCGAAAAGGACTACCCACTATCTGTAAACAAGTAGCCACTTTATATACGACTACAATTCATGGGCGATATACCAAGCGAGATAATTACGAGGAAATGAAGAAAATCAGTTCAAAGAACTTTAATGCTGGCGAACTACACGTATTATTCTCTACACCACTACCGATGGTGTAACCTCGACTGAAAGATGAAGTACCTAGACTAGCTAGCCACTTCAAATTGCATCTACCAATTCATCTGCGCTTTTGGGGCGAGTTATATTGGCCAATGCTCTAGGAACTTGATTTTTCGTGCTCACTCGAGAACATCTCCCACTATGGCTGAGTAAAGGTGTAGTGAAAACTATTAACAGTTCGATATTAGACCATCTGGTGTAAACCGGTCACAAAGCCAACGTAGACGAATCCTTCTCTATAATATACCGGGTGCCTAACAAACTATCGAAATCGTCGAAGCACCGCATGCTCCAAACAGCAGAAGCTATTGCAATTCGCCTCAAACAACCAGTGCTCTGTGTTCAAGAGAAACAAGTCCAGCCAGCCACTACTACTGCCCTGGCCGGCCTTCAGTAGAGACTATAAACTCATGAATTTATACTATTATCTTTCACAATTCTTCTGACATTCAGCTTATTTTATGTTGATGCTGTTCAGCTGTAATCTACCAATATTATTGATTCGATGTTATTTAAACAACCATAATGTCGTTCATAACACTAATTCATTCATTCATTCATTATAATGTATATACAACTGTAGAGCATGATGATGAAGGGGTTATCGAAAAGAGTACTCTTTGTTCCGTGTCTATTCTTTTGAAAATTTAAAAAAAATATGTATAATTGGGAAATAAGGGAGGAAAACGGGGAGAACGAAAAGGAAACTTACAAATTCACTATTTTGACAATGTCCAACGGGTGTTGTTATTGAGCAGTTAAGTGTGTATGGAATGTTATTCTGATTGTTATTATTGCCATTATTACCATCATTATATGATACACCATCTTATGGATAGAATGAAGAAAAAATAGAATCAAAAATCAATAATGAATCCAGAAATACCAGAGAGACATCTGACGTGACGTCATTAACAACGAATATATAACAGAAAAATATGACTGGTCATCGCTGGTTTCAAAGTAGAACTTTACTTACACCGATGTGTACCAGTTCGAGTTCCTTCACTTCATTTAGCACACAAAGAGAGTGAACACAGTAAAGAGAGATTCAAAAGAGTGCTAAAAGAGAGAGAGATCTGAGGCAAAAATAATAGTATTATGCAACAACAATATAGTTTCATTAAGTATTATAAGTCACAAGAAGTGGATGCATCTGCGCCAGCCATTGAAAACGATTTTGAACCATATCACCGATTGTCTCCAGCCTTCATTGGTTTTCACCATCCATACCGAGGAACCCAACCAGTCAGGAAGTCTACACCTACCTTCGTGGCTGACTGGCTTAAACTAACTGTTGTGGATTTCATTGACTGATGAAGCCATGTTTTGGTTTGACAACCACTAGCTAACTCTTTTCCAATCTGATCCCTCCTATGTCAGCTAACATTGCCCATTGTCGAGGAAGGCGATGGCTAGGCATATATGCTTGACACATGTCCTAACCATCTCAGTCGATGTAGCTTCACAGCCTCGCCCATTGATTTCCCCTCCCACCTACCTAGCACTCGACCTGGGTTCGAACCCCTGTGGTGTGACTACAATATATCTTTATATATATATATATATATATATATATATATATATATATATATATATATATATAGGTGCCTGCGTTCTATCTCCCGTGTAAAGTGGAATAATAGGGTAAGCAATACTGAGGTTAGGCGTCGAGTGCTAGGTAGGTGTGGAGGGGAAATCAATGGACGAGGCTGTGAAGCTACATCGACTGAGATGGTTAGGACATGTGTCAAGCAAATATGCCTAGCCATCGCCTTCCTCGATAATGGGCAATGTCAGCTGACATAGGGTCAGGCTGGAAAAGAGCTGGCGGCGGTCAAACCAAAACATGGCTTCATCAGTCAATGAAATCCACAACAGTTAGTTTAAGCCAGTCAGCCACGTAGGTAGGTGTAGACTTCCTTACTGGTTGGGGTCTTCGGGATAGATGGTAAAAACCACTGGTTGAAAACAATTGGTGATATGTCTCAAAATCGTTGTCAATGGTTAGTGTAGATGCATCCACTTCCAATGAAACTATATTATTCTTCGTTACTACTTTTCCTATTGTCTCATATCCCTGTTTTACTGTCTGTATTTTGCATTTCTTCTACTTTCTTCTCTTACTTTGTGTGGTACAAGGAGGGAGTGTGGCGACTTGAAATGCTGCACATCGGTGCAAAGTTCTATGTTGAAAACAGTCAGACAGACAGATCAAATGTGCCCTTTCGCATATTCTTTTAATCATTCAACTACGAGTCCTTGAGTCACACATATTCTGTACTGCTGGCCCCACTTTAAAGTAGGTCCCAAACTACCGAAATGAAGTGTTTAGGGAAATAGAGGAAAAGAATTTCTGTGGGATATTGGAGAGTGATTCGGATAGGCTAATATTGCTTCAAATTATATATTATTGATTACTATTTTACCTACAAATTCCGTATAATGTGGGAATAGTCTGCAATAAAACATACCTGACAATTTTTCACTGTATATAAACACATTTTTCACAGTAAAGTTATTATTATTATTATTTCAAGTTTTCTCATTAAATAATATCACTTAGAAAACCATTAAAACCAGGGAGTAGTGGACAGTCATTTCAGCCTTGTTGAGGACTCTACAGCAGTACACACATCCATGAACCCACCAGAGATTGTTGATCATTCAGTAGTCACTGTGACGAAATTCTCAATGGCCCATGAATTCTAACTTCTTTCACTCTGCCATTTTTAGAGCCATTAAGGTCAATTCCCCCAGTGGCCATCGTTACAAGAATGCATAAACAGGACTACGTCACCCCCTCCCCCTAAACCTATTAAATTAGAATAGTTCAAATTATTTTATTTTTATTTTGACCACTTCATCTTTAATTACGTGTTATCTTTGTAAAATTAATTTATTCTATCCATTTCTACCTTTTAATTGTGTGTATTGATTTTCTTCGTTAATTATCTACCCATTGACATTTTGACACTGTTTAATTATTGTTAACAAACATATCAGTGCCACTTGATTATTAAACTGTTGTGTATTGTTATAAAAATGCTATACGGAATATATTAGAGTAGAGCCATAGAAGAGGATCTAATTGAAAAGAGTAAATATTTCTTCGCTGAGTCTTTCTGTTTTCCACTGGTTAAGCCATCATTATGATTATTTTTGTTGGTAAATTATGCCAAACTCTAAATACTACTTTAACGTCAGTGAGTAGTACCATCCCATCATCTAACCGTTTATATGAATCTAATCTCTTTCTCTCTCTCTCTCCCGCTCTCGCTAGTTTATTAATTATTAATTAAGCAAATCCAATCTTTTGTGTTTTTAACATTTGGGACAGAAGGATAGGCAGACTTTGAAATGACAAGGATTCACTGAGATTATGTAATGAATACATATATAGATAAACACAAACACACACACCCACAAATACATATAGATTTGCGTTTTTTAATGATAGAAAAGCTGAAGTTAGAAGAGTAGACGTCGATATGCGCGATGAAGCTGAACTTTCTGTTCAGCTTTTTGTGTGTGATTTAATATTAATAATAGTAATAATAATAATAATAAATACAATACGGACAAAAATTAATGAATAATGACAGACTGTCTCCATTCTTCTTTCATAAGAACAAACAAACTAACAGACACACACACAAACATACATGCACACACACAAATACACATTCAGGCACAAGAAATATTGATTGACTTTACAAAATTAACAAATTCTATGATAATAGTATAGAAGAGTAATAGTATTAGTAGTAGTATTAATTAACAGGCGAGTGAGTTGTATTCATCCTAATCTCTCTCTCTCTCTCGCTATTTTTCCAACCATTGAAGTGAATAGAACTCTGTGTTCTAAGTTAATCAATATTTATTTGTTTTTTTGTTGTTTTTTTAAAAAAAGAACAAGATAAATGAGATTTCTAGGTAATTTTGATACGCTAGTCACTTAACCAAAATCATAATTTTGATAAAGAAAGGAAGACGAAATTTGCAGTATAAAATGACGTCATCATACTATTCCACAGGTTCTCATCAGCTGCAGACTGACTACCTGAAATTACAATGGTTATATAAATGATAATAACATACTTTAATGTTTGAGTAGTAGTAGAGAAGAGACAAAAATTGACGCATCCAAAAAAGAATGAAAGCATTACAATTTTTAGTTTAAGTTATCATCATCAATTTATACACTTTCAAAGTTGAAAAGAGGGGGGAGGGGTAAGACAGAAAACAGAAAAATTGATTAACAGAAACAGTGTTAGCTTGTAGGTTCACATGGCAACTCCAAAAAACAAAAGCATTTACAGTTTATAAGTCCTTCAAAATATTAAATAGACAAAGGACAGCAAATTTACTACGATTTGCCGAAGTGATCGCAATCAAACGATTTAAACCAGACTTATGCATACAGAATGAGAGTGTGATTTACCTCTCACTCCCTTGGCAACTGAATTTTTATTTTTATTACAATAATTAGTCATCTAATTCAGTGATCTCAACTCACTGAACAAATCCTAATCTTATAAACTGTAACCGCCTTTGTTTTTTGGAGTTGCTATGGGAACCTACAAGCTAACACTGTTTCTGTTAATCAATTTTTCTGTTTTCTGTCTTACCCCTCCCCCCTCTTTTCAACTTTGAAAGTGTATAAATTGATGATGATAACTTAAACTAAAAATTGTAATGCTTTCATTCTTTTTTGGATGCGTCAATTTTATCTCTTCTCTACTACTACTCAAACATTAAAGTATGTTATTATCATTTATGTAACCATTGTAATTTCGGATAGTCAGTTTGCAGCTGATGAGAACCTGTGGAATAGTGTGATGACGTCATTTTTTACTGCAAATTTCGTCTTCCTTTCTTTATCGAAATTTATCAAGGGAACCAGTTGTATGAAAATCATAATTTCATTTCGATAGCATTATTAGAAGACAGAGATTATCTGAAAAATGTGATGTATTCGCGCTATACATTTCGAACAATCTGATCCCTCACACATTTACTTGTCAAGTCAATATATATATGGAAAAGTTAAATTAAACAAAGTGACACAAAAAGAATTAAGAATAATTTACACAAACGTTTGGTAATCCAATCATATAAGGATTACCAAGGTAGGTTAAGAGTAATAACAAACTGTTTTTGAATACACACGGAAGGGGGGGGCTTAAGTTTATGAATGGCTATAGCCTCAGCGTATTTCAGTAAACGTCCTTGACCGTTTTTATAGATGACCTTAAAGGCTGAGTTAACATCAACCTTATGGTTCATCTCGATTACATCTTTAGCTATAGACGAAGTTGGTAGTCTGACATCTGCATCTATTGGCTTGTCACAATTCATCTGTTTTACTAACCATTTTGGGATATGGTCTCCCACCCTCACGTGCAAAGCGCGATTACTCCTCCCTATGTATGTCCACACACACACACGAAAATTGGTAAATTGTGTGGGATGTGATATAATCACTTCTGCACTTTTGAGGTTTCCAGTGAAGCATATTTTTAGCTTTTTCCACAATTACAAGCTGGGCTGCATAGTAGGTTCTACGGATGATGGAATTCAACCTTTGTCTCAAAATCCTACTATTTATTTCCCCATTATATGGTAATTTGATGAAAACCTTTTTCTTAGGGACGGTATGGATTGTAGGTTTAGAGGCTAGTTGACTTCTACACCTGTTCAAAAATTTCAAAGGATATCCGTTTTCAACAAGAGTATCCATCAATATTTCGTTTTCCTTGTCTATAACATCAGCCGTGCAAATACGCTGAATCCTCTTAAATAGACACTTCACCAAGCCTCTCTTA